AGCAGTCTTCACACATATATAGACAGGCTTGTAATCACTGAATACAGCTTCAAATCACGTACTCGCCGGTCTCTAATCTTCAGTTTCAGTCTTCGACGTTTGCTGAAGGTTTTTTGGTGTGAGTGTTGTCTTCTTGAAGTATTATTGTCTCTAATAGATTTACAATGCAAGTTCTTCAGTGATCACTGAACATACTCAGTGAAGATCGCTGGAACTGAAAATACAGAAACACAAATACAACGTGAAATGAGAAAAGGGATTATCATCAAATTACTGAGAGAGAGGATCAACACAAATACGTTTTTCCAGTCCCCCTGGACCATCTATGAAGAACATTCCTGAACGATCATCATCTGCAAGCTTCATGATCTCATCGTATGCGTACTTTTGGTTGTAATTAAGGGAGTCTCGGGCATGTAAATGTTCTTCTTCCACAACTACGGAGTATTCCTCTTGTACCTCACGAAAACTTCCAAATTGTAAGTTGTATCTACATTTATCTTTGGAAGATCGAAATCATCAAGAGTTTCACCCATAGATTGTAGAAAGCTTGTGATGTCAGTTAGGACCATATTTCGAACTCGGTTAACACTTTCGCATTGTCGTCTATAATCTTCTGAAAGTGAATCGTAATGCTGATCCCACAACTTGCGAATATCTCCTGGCTCACAATAAATTAATATTGTCGCAAATAGCCTCCTTAGAGCTTTGGGAAACTGAAACAAAGAAGCCTTCACAAGACATTGTGATAAGTTATCGTCTGTCTCTATTAAGCCTCTCTCAAGTGCTGCTTTTCGGAATGTTGGGTATACTATGCTATTGACTGTGAATAGATCTTTAAAAGATGTAGGCCCACTAATATGAGATAAAAGAAGGCGTAGGTAGTATCGCTCTTCTTCGGCGAGATTAGCATAAACTAGTCGTCCTATCATTGATCCTTGTTTTCTCGGATTCCAACGACGTGCGATCGCATTCCATGTGTAATGTTTTGGAAAGTCTTTATTTAAATATTGTCTTGCACTCTCTTCTTCTTTATTTCTGTCAAAAAATGCAGTCAACATTGTTCGTTTACCACTCTCTCTAGCAACAATATCTGTCATTATATCATCATATCTGAATCTAACCATCTGCTTATTTGGAATATGGAGTTGCAAAGCCATCACATAAGGTTGAATTTGAGAAAGCGCAAAGCTAAAAATCCGCCACATTGCCTCCAGGGGGGGGGGGACATAATGCGCATCTTGAAACCTTTTAATCTCAATAATAACACTTTGTCCTTCGGGTGGATCTATATGCATAACTTGTTTATCATGAACCTTGTAAATATTTGAAGAGATATTTCAGAGATGTTACACTTGAGCAAGCCTCAACATTAATATGACAGTTGAATATCATTAACAATTTTGGGTTATACGAGACAACCCATTTATTATCCAGTGTATTTCCCCATACATTCACATCTCTTCCAATATTTTTCCTCCTGTATAACATATATGAATTCTCAGCCTGTGACGTTTTATCGTTGAATTGTCTAGGATATCTAAAACGACAGATTTTCGGCTCACCTTGCATGCAAGGATTGGACGGTCGTAAACGACCGCAAGGACCATGCATCATGTTAGATTCATTTTTCATCTATTGTAAAAGTATAGAAAAAGTATTCTGTAAGTCTTGACAGAAGAATATATTCCATAGAAGACAACAGAGGACTAACAACAGAAGCCCTTTATTCGAGAAGTAAAGTGTGACAGAACCTCTGATGTCTCTCACAGAGGTTCTGGAAAATGGTCCTCTGTCAATAAGAACATGCAAGTCAATTACAGCAG